ACTCAGAGACATCTTTCTGATGATACTACTGAACTGAATACCATCATAATAAACCCTCAGCCAGTTCAAACTAACTAGAAAAACCAGGCGGGGGAGCGGGGAAGAATCTAGACTAGCAAAAACTCTAAATTGCTAAGAGAATCAAAATTGAAATTTGCTTTGAATTAAAACCTCAGATACCAAAATTCCACACGAGTAAAAAATAAAGAAATTTTATAGTGTGGCTGAACTGAAACACAAAGTTGCTATCCAGAAAAGGTACTGTAATCTTCAATTCTAACTAAACACTGACATTCACCTTTGTTTTCCCCTAGGATTCCAAGAAAGAGAAAAATCTCCATACCTCATTGTCAGGTCTTGACCTAACATACACTCCTGCCTATTAGACCCGTGGGGCCAGAAGAGCAGAATCTTTTTCTTTAAACATTAACCCATCTAACCTCAGGCTGCATTTTTCAAAATCCAACAACTATCAGAGTACCCTCTCACAAAACTAACCATTCCTAGCTGACACAATACACTAAACTCACAGTTGCCAATTATCTTTGATAATAGAAAGCATGACTAACAAAATCCAAGCTATCACTTTCCCCAAATTATGAGATTGATATTTTTTTTTAAATAAATTGTCAACCATTCTCAAACACTTGCCTCAGACAAGGAATTGACAAAAATAAAAACTATATTTATAAAAACATTCTATTTTTGTTTTAAATTTTTGCTAATTTTACTTTCCCTTCATTTTAAGATGACTTCGTTTATTTAAAAGAATTCAAACGGGGCATGTTAGCACACACTTGTAATCTTGGTACTTCAGAGGCTGATACAGGACTGCTGCAAGTTCGAGGCCAGCCTGGGCTACATAGTAAGTTCAAAACAGCCTAACCTACATTTCGAGACCCTGTCTCAAAAATACCAAAAGAATTCAAATCTAGCAGTCTAACCAGTGTGAAATATCCTGGAGCTGTTCCTCAAATGCTAAAATGTTAATATCTGACAAGTTCTATAGAGTTTTAAACAAGGTAGTTAGGTACTCAAATGGTTGCTAACCATTAAGAGATGCAAATTTTTATAAAGACTTTAAGAAATACTACACACTATGAAGCTTTACAACATGAGAAAAACCAAAATTACCCAGAAATACAATTTCCCCAAAGCCACCATTAGACAGATTCCATTCTAGCTCACACTGACTACCATCATGTCCTCATATAAAATAAAAGCCACAAGCAGAAAGCATATCATTATTAAAGAAATGTCCTGTTGCATGAATCATCTTCCCATTCTCCTGCTTGAGCCTTTGTTCACCCTCACCTATGCCAATATCACATTGTATTGAAATTGTTCCATCTTTACCAATATTAGGCCTCCAAGATAAGGTATGACTAAGCTCACTAGGGACAGGGACTCACTTCATTCACTTATTAAGCACTGCTATGTGGCAACACTAAAATAGCAGATCCTCAACTAAATATTGGCATCAACATTGGCAATACTGGCGTCAACATTCAATGGATGGCCATTTATAGGTACAAAGCTTGGAATCTATTTAATAGATGGCATTTTCTCCAACATTAACAAATGAAATGAAGGTAAGATAATTTCAGCCAATTTTAGTACAAGTCACATTTGATTTCTCCAAATGCATCTTTAGAAAATTTCTCAATTCAAACAAAATACAAACAAAACTTTCCATTTACAGGGCCATAAAAATACATAGAAAGTTAAATCCATTGGACTGGACAAAAATCAGAGGATTACCAACAGAGTACATTTCCTCATGCTTGGTGGCAGCCACAGCATTTTCAAAATTACAACACACCAGCCAAACAAGCTTTACTATCTCTGAACCAAACCCTGCTGTGTGCCCAAGCTAACTTGTCCTAAGCAAGCTGATCAGGAATTATGGTAAGGAAGGAGTTAATAGGAACCAACATTAAAACTTCCAAACAACAATAAAATTTCAGTAGGGTAGGAGGTAAAGGAGGGATGAGGATATTTTCCATGTCCCCAATATCAAATACTGGCACAAGAGTGTGGGAAGAAAAGGTGGTATTAAGCTCTCAATCACAGGAAGGATTTACAGCAAGTTCTGTTTCTGCCTTGCTGGGTTCTTTTTTCTCCGGTGGAGGAAACAAGTCTGCTTTTCAGTGCTAGGTCTTGGTCTGTTTGTCTTATTCAGAAGGACAGTATCTTCTAACACCCTTCAAGGACACATATGAGCCTGCTTAAAATACACCAAAGAACTTGGCTTAAAAAAAAAAAAAAAGTAATCCTTGCTTGCTCTTACTGCAACTACTCAAAACAGCTGGGACCAAATGGAGTTAGGAGTGGGAAGGATCAGCAAGAGCCCTAGAGAGAAGCACGAAGTGAATGAAGACCCAGAAAAGACCTACCTGGAAGCAATTCATCATCAAGTGAAAGCTCTGAAGAGGGGTTCAGGAAACATTTATATCTGATTGTGTGAAAAGACAGCAGCAGTCTCCTCATCACGAAGCCTTGTCCTCTGGGAAGCGAGTCTGGGAGGGGCAGAGGCGAACTAAACAGCCTTTTATAAGGGGCGGGGTTAAGAATTCCCATCCCAGCCTTTTGTAAACTGCCACACAGCTTAGTTTGCGTAAGTGAACCTGTGGGTTGTTTGTGTTAGTGGTTGTTTCCATCAAGTCAAAGTAGGCACAATCTCTATAGTCCTGTAAACAACTAAGATGAAAATAATGAGAAAGATACAGACACTAACAACTAGTACAGTAGGAGTACTTGCTAGGTACCACACCCTGAGGCTCAGTAACTCACATAATACAACTATCTGGGGAGGTAGCAAACATTATCATCCTCTTTTTATAGAATAGGACAGCAAGACAGAGAGCAAGCTGCTCAAGGACACAAAGTTAGTACCCATTCGCAGCAGGACTTGAACCTAGAAGTCTGGTTTTACAGCCCAAACCCCTCATTATTTGCTCGACAATTTCTGAACAGGAGATATAACTCTCTACTTAGGAATTGCTGGATCCTCACTTCACCCAGATCCTAAACTTGGTGCCTTTTTAGGTCAACACAGGAGATGCCAAGTCTCCAGACACAGTAATGGCCTACTCTTCTCATGTCCTCCCGGCAGCTTGTCTCCCTGGCTGAGTTTCCCTGAAAACAGGTTGTGACATTGCACCAGGTGTGCCAAGAAGCCCTGGCTGCACTGAGAGCAAAAAAGAAAAAGAAAAAAAGCCAGAGGCCGGCTTCCTCTTGGGACATGCTAGCTCTCAGGTTTCCAGTCAGCTCTCAGAATGAGGGTTGTCATCATACAGAAGCAGGACAGGACTGCCACTGCCACCAAGAGCAAGGACCAAGCCTCAGGACAAGGCAGGCCTGAGGCCACCCCAACAGGCACAGGTGGCAGCATTAGAGCTGCTGTGGTTTCACAGTTCCCCTCAGGAGCTCGAAGCAGTGAGGCACTGAGAAGAAAGGCATCACCTTCTCACTGCACCAAGCAACATTAATGCCGCTCCACATCGAGAAGCAGGAAACCTGTCTCCTCCTGGAGAAAGGAAGGGAAAAAAGAGGAGATGGAAAGGCTCCGGGTACTACTCACATTATCTAACTTGCCTGCACCAACACCAAGCAGCTATCGCTCTGGGAAGCCCTTGAAACTGCTCTGCTGGCTGAGGCAGTGGCCTTGCCCAGAAGTGCTAAAAGCTGAAGCCAGCACCAGTGGGTCTCAATTCCAACCCGGAGCTAACACATGGCTCCTTAGTGCTCCTTTGCCATGTGTTGCTCTCGCAACAGAATGTGGAACAGAAGATTTTAAAAAGCTTCGTGAGATGGGGGAAGGGCAGCCTGATCACCTTTCCCAAGGCTTCTCAATCAAGCCACCTCAGATGTTTTCAGAAGGGGCCAGTATCACCAGCTTCCAGGGAGGGAGGTTTTCCCAAACCTGGTACTGAAAGCGCACATGTTCTAGTTTGGACAGAGTTGGAGGATGGGGTCGTTCTAAAGGGTACAGTCAAAACACGCCCCTCACATCCTGCACAAGTGGGCAATCCCTTACACCAAGCTGAGCTCCCGAAGGCTCTGACAAGTGAGGGTGCAGGCAAAGTACATCCTGGGGACCCAAAGGCGGGAGGCTGTTCCTGCAGATACTGAAAAGGAAGGGAGAGCAACGGGAGAATCCACGGACCCAGACCCGGTCAGAGCCCAGTGATGTCCCCTTGCCGTATCCATGCCCACCAGCCTCCTCTGCATCTACCACGGACCAAGACAAAACCGTGGAGACCTCCTCCATGCTCACAACTGTGGCCCACCCTTGGGGCCTGCACGTTTTACTGCTGTAGAACCTTGTTCCTGTTCCCCAGGTGAGGACTCTGAGGAATCTCGAACAAATTACAGTGCTTCCCTAAACCAGGTTGAAGTTCACCTCTTTAACCACATTTTGCACTTTTTTTTTTCCAGCACTATTACATTTCAAATTTCTCCAGATACACTGATTTAATCGCTGTTACAAAGTGAATTTTAAATACAACCGAAGGACTCAACTCAAAATGAGATGAGGGCAGTCACGGAATCCAGTGGGGGTTTATTAGCGCAGGGAGAGGAGAGGTGCCCCCCACACCCAGCTCCCCCCTACTATCCGTCCACCGGGACATCCCTGTGCGGCCACCTCCCTCCTCCCAAGCCAGTGCCACCGCAACCTGAGGGCGGGGGTTCAGCGGCCCTGGGATTGGCAGCAGGCGGGCTGGCTCTCGGTCCCGGGGCCAAGACGGGGGCGTGGGCGGGGGTCCCCCAGTCCAGGGGCCCGGGGGCAGCGGCCAGCGCCCGCCCAGCCCGGGGGCCGGGAACTTGTGCCCGCTCACCCCGCCGCCCTCGTCCCCACCCCGCCGCCGCCTGGCGTGTGCGCGGCTCGGGTTTCCCTTTCTTCGCCTCGCGGCGCCGCGGGCACGGACCCCCGAGGAGGAGCAGGAGGAGGAGGAGGAAAAGGAGGAGGAGGAGGAAGAGGCTCCGCGGCCACTCACCATATTACAGATGGAGGCGATGTTTCGGACAGTCATTAGTCTAAAGGTTGCAGCGATCCCGCACCGCCATCTTTATGAGGTGAAAACAGGACTGTCCATGGTGGAGCGCTCCAGCAAGGCCGGGCAGGCGGTGGCGAGGCGGCCTGGGGTCCGGCTTTCAGTTTGGCTGAGGAGCGAGGCCAGGAGGGAGGGCGGGAGGCGGCGAGGGAAGGCGGGGAGGGCGGGAGGCGGCGCGCTGGGCGGGAGCGAGGGCGGGGAGTGGCGGAGCGAGGGAGCCTGGGCCGCGGCCGGCCGGTGCGGGGAGGAGGGAGTCGCACCCGGCCCTCAGAGCGAGCGCTCGCGCGGCCGCCGCCTCCCGGCCTGAGCGCGGCTTCGGCTGTTCCTTCTGCGGACCTGCTCCGCTCCGTTCCGGAACCCCGGGCCGGCCCAGGTCGCACAGCTGCAGCAACCACACCCGCTGGTCCCCAGGCCGTCCTCGTCGTCTGGGCGGCGGCGGGGTCGGAGAATGAGGACCACGCCAGGCGTTGGACGCGGGCCGGGTGCGGGCTGGGTGCGGGCTAGAGGAGCTGGCGACCCGGGACCACGCGCTCTGAGCCTCGGCTTTCCTTCTTTGCCTTATTCCCTACGCCCAGCACTGTTGGGTTTTGTTTTTTTTGGCGAGAGGAGAAAGTGAGTGTTTGGAATGACTACTTCCAACTTTTAGTTTCTCCCCAGGGTTCTAGTGAGGAAGCACCGATGGAGACCAGCAAGTGAAATGGGGTCAGCCCCTAAGCGGCCCGAAAGCCCTGGCCAGCAGCGGGCCAGCTGCTTGGTAAAGGGTGCCTGGAAAGGAAAGGAATCCGGGTCTGAACCGAGGCCAAATACTCTGGCAGTTTGTGACATTAGCAGGTACAAAGGAAAAGTCCTGGTTCTAGACAAGTACTACATATTGTCCACAGAATGAAAAGAACCAGAACAAAACTTTTCCACAGACTGAAGAAAACAAGACACCTGACCTCTAGTGTTTTGAGATGCAGGCTAGTTAGGCTTCTATACATTTGCGCCATATAAGGTCAGGGTTGCAGACGCAAAGCGATAGCCTATACAGCACTTCAAAGGTGAGTTCATGTGCATTCAAAGAACCTATTTCCAATTGTGGGAAAGGATTCTACAGGCTAAGGTGGCAGTTCAGTGCGCTTTCTACACAAAAGTTCTGCAAGTGAAATGTGTAATAAATTCTTAAACCAATACACATCATGACAAATTGAGTTCGAGGAGAAATTAGTGTAATTGAAGACAGCTTTTATCTAACCAAGGGTAACATACGGGAGGAAATTAGTCTTATACACATAAGATTTGAGAGCTTGTTGATTGCCGGTATTCCCCTAGGACAGTGGTGGTGGACCCATGGCACAGGTGTTATTTGTTTTTTTTTTTAAGACAAAAGGTGCTAATGTATGAGGTTTTTTTTTCTAAACTAAAACCTCAGTATTCATTTTGCAATAAATAAGTGGATTTTGGGTTGCAGTTTGGGCACTCATCTCTAAAAGGTTCACCATCACTGGCCTAGGACCTGCGGTGAAAACATGACAAATACTGTTGACAATTTTGTTGGCACTGTATTTTTTTTTTTTTTTTTGGTACTGGGGATCGAACTCAGGACTTTGTGCTTTTGAAGCAGGCAACGGCACCACTGAGCTAAATCCCTGGCCCTGGCACTGTATTTTTTAATATAAGGATGAACATTTTTACTTATGTCATTGTCCTATCTAAATCTTATTTCCAAATAGATCCTGGTGATAACAGTAGTCAACTTTGATATTTTAGTGTTGTCAGTTGTGATGTTCTTTACATTCATCCTCTTCAGTTGCCAACATAACTGTCAGGTGGTAGACACTCATACCTCCTTTCCCAGATCAGTAACATAAAGCTTAAAGGACCAAGAATCCTGCTCAAGTCTATGTTACCTAAATGTTTCAGATGACACTGATGTGCTAACCTATACGTTGGGGACCACTGTGGGAGGAGAAGACAGCAAAATATCCAAACTGTGGCCAACCAGGGTATTAAGGCCTAGAAGACTTTAAAGATTTGAGAAATGTCACGTAACAAGATCAAGAACAATCTCAAAGCTAAAACTCAGAGCTTTAAACTCAGTTTCACAGAAGTTCCTATAAAGGCATTAATCCAAAGCTAATTTGTGGAAACTCTATACATTGATAAAGTTCAGTATTTCTTCCAACATTGATACATGGATTGCAAAGTCTACAGGACTGAAAATACAGTTAACATAATGAAAATTGAACAGCTTCTGATTCCTGAGTGCTATATCAGCAAGTTAAAGGGATCTTTTGCATGTCTTTTAACAGCCTACAGCTTAACAGTCAAATGTTCAATATAGACGAACAACCAGACTGAAACTTGCCCAGTGAGTTAAATATTCAACGAATCAATTGAACATAGCAGAGTTTGTCAGACTCATGAATGATTAAATACAGTTTATACTTCCATGAGGTTGATGTTCACAGGTCTAAACTGGAGAACACTTGAGTTGAAGAATAATCATGACCTTAGCTTCATTTAGTGAGGAAACATTATTCAGATGTGATAGAGGTAAAATCTTGAAAATGTTGACAAGCTGATCAGAGAACTATGAGGAACAGTGTCCGACTTGCAGAGATACTATAAACTGGTATGGAGTGTTAGGACTGGGGAGAGAAAGCAAATGGAAGGAGAGCCTTTAGTCTGGCACCAAATAGTGTAAATGAATTTGAGGAACACAGTCCCACCAGGTAATGTGCCCCTTGCTACACTGTTGGCTATGCAACAGCAGCATTAGCATCTGCTGGGTGATCGTAAGAGGTATAGATTCTCAGTTCCCATCCCAGAGCTAAATAAGCTAAATCCAGACTCAGCTTAAGGTGTGAGGACCACTGCTCCAGCCAACTATCTACTTGTGGAATTCTGGTTTTGCCTGCCCAGCAATCATTTCCGGTCTTTCAGTAACAGATCCCAGATTCTACTTTGGGGAATTTGCCCTCTCCCACTCTCAGACCCCAGGGTTCAGATGTGTCTAAACTTGCCCCCTGACTCCAGGGAAAGGCATGTTGTCCAGGCCTGGCTAATGAGAAAACCTCAGGGCCCAGCCACAGTGATTGGTTCAGCAAAAAGTATGTAATACAAACTGAGCCAGTAAGAGTCAGACCTGGGACTTTCAAGGAAATACTCCTCTTCCTGAGTTTGCTGAGCTGATTGGATAAAAATCTAGAGCTGTTGTTTTTCCACTCCCTGAGAATGAAGCCAAACAAGAAAAAGGAGCTAAGAAATTGAAGAGATTGTAATATCATTTATCCACTTGCTGCCATACCTGGACTTTTCAGTAACTCAAGCCAGTAAAGTCTTAGTTCCTTTGGCCATTTCAAATTGTGTATCTGCTACTCAGGATTGAAAGAATGCTAATTCACCCCTGTTTCTCTGTCCCTGAAATTCATTAGCCTCCTTCTGAAGTCATGATGTTCCTGTGTCCTGCCCTCTAAAAGAAGCTTTTGAGGTCTGCCTCCTCCACTAGGCCTTGCTAGATTGTTCCCCTACACATCCAGTACTGCTGTCCCCACCTCCACCAATTAACTTCCACATCTGGGCAGCCATGAGTTTCATATTCTTCCTTCTGTCGTCACCAGTTTCATGTGTGCCTCTCTCCTCTTCACTTACACCCCACTCAGCCTTTAGGTGTTTCCTGAGACAAGTGAGATGCTTTCGCTTTATGTTCTTATAGCACCACCAATCCTCCCATCCTGGCACTCAGATTTGTAAATATGTTTATGCCACATAGCACAGACTGGAGGCAGTGGATGGTTAAAGAGTAAACCCTGGGGTCAGGCTACCTGGACTCCATATGACCATGGCAAGTTTCTTAACCTTGCCATGCCTCACTTTCCTTATCAATAAAGACTGAGAGGACCACTTAAAGTCTGATTTCATTACTCTCTGTAAAGCATGAAGAAGAAGAACATACTGGCACGTATTAACCATTATCTAAGTGAGAGCTATTATTTTGCATGTTTTTTTTTAATGGGGTTATTTGATGTCTGTTTCCCACCCCTCATCAGATATAAATTAAGAAACAGATCTCTTCTTGCTCCTCATGTTACACCTAAAGAATCAGCTCACTGTCCATAGGAAGAGCCAATAAATGGAATATTGAGTATTTGGACAGTTACCTCTCTCTGAATGGTCTGGAAGCTCCTAGTGGGACAAAACCTGGTCTTACACATCTCATTCCTGTCTCAAGCACTATGCCTGGCACATGAATTCTTTTCCTTTTTTCATCACTGCCAAATAGGCTATTGCGATTCATTTGATATGTAAATGCTAGTAAACATTGTCTGTCTGGTGAGGAAAAAAAATATTTTGCTGGCTGTAGACTCAAGTTTGATTGCTACACTGGTTTCTGTGGATATTTCATTTCTGTACAGAACTTTCAGACATTTTTCCTTAATCATATTAAAGACATAGTTTGTGCAAGAGCCTTGATGATTCAAAACAAGGCAGTCCTAGCATGTGTACTGCTTGATTTCTAATGCAGTATTCATTGGAACTGTTTATGAATGTCTACACAGTTCTTGCATGCTATTAGCATAAGATAAGAATAAGGTAACACTTGGGAGTGAGCATCACAGCAGACTCCTAGAAACTACACCTAAAATTATGACATGGGTGTATTTATGGGTAGTTAAGATTCGCTAAGCCTTTGGAACAATTGGCTTATTTTGAAATCTCAAATGAAAGGCCACCAAAAGATTTTTAAAACTAGTTTGGAACATAATTAGATTTATACTGGCTAATACATTTTGATTAACTGAAAGATCAAATTAGTTGGCTATACTATGGGAAGGAAGGAGGACAGCGAAAGTGCTCTAAGTGAGGCCAGTGAGAAATCCAAGAGAGCGCAACAGTTGTCAATAAAAAGAGAGGGAAGCCGACAAATTGAAGATTAGCTTCTGGAGGTAGTCAACTGAATTTGTAGTTGACTGGGATAAGGGAGAAGAACAAGGCCAAGGTTTCTGCGTAGAATGAAGAATGTCATTTTTCCCCAATAGGGAATGCTGAAGGAGGCTCAGGTGTAGGTGACTGGGACGACACCAGCTTGATTCAGAAGTGTTGACTTTGAGACAACCACAAAACACCCAGATATTTAATTAAGCCCTTAACTGTTCACATATGGAGCTCAGAAGAAAACTCTTCACCAGAGAAATAAAT